GTCCCGGTCGTGGCGGGAGATGAAGGGTAGCGGCCTGGCAAGCAGGTACCCACCAAGGGTGTACGCCCGCTTCGGGTCTGCACGGCGCCGCAGGGCTGCCGGCAACCGGATGGGAGGCCTTCCTCATGAACACCACCTCCACAATTAAAAATAAAGTACTTTTCCAGCCGGTTTAGAAGCCCGAGAAGTGCTATATGCCCCTGCTTCGACAGATCACTGATCAAATTAAGCTCAACATACTAGCTGGATATTTATACTACGCGTTGATATTTTTAATAATACCGTTAAACCCTCAGAAAGACCTAAGAGCTGTTTTGAGGCCCCCAGCTCCCTGTGAAGCGCTTCCCATGCAGGTCTGTAGAGCCTGAACAGGAATAGTGGCCTTCTGAGAGCTCAACAAGTATTAATAAAGTATGGTAAAAAGGATGCAAGATGATACGCAAAGGACAAAGACCAGACCACTTCCTCAGTGGAGATTACAGCTCCATAGGCAGAATTTCTATTGCACTCAAACCTTCTTACCAATAGTCTTTTTCAAATGCAGTATACATCAAACATAGCTTGTTCTTATACTGAAACAAGTTCCACATACCTCATTGTCACTTATGTCTGAAAGTTATTCAGCCTTTCCTCCCCTATGCATCTCTAAACGTTAGCAGTCCTGTGCAAATCTAAAGGAGACCATACAGAAGTATTAATCTGAGCATTACATCTTGTAAAAAAAAAAGTCACCCACTTTTATAGGCAAAAACACAACAACTAAAAGGAAAAAAAAAATCAATCTTGGATTATAACACTTTTTGTCAGTGGACAGCTACATGCTTTATCCTTCCCACCTAAGTCTACTTTCTGGTTGACATTACAATTGTGATTGCTGAAAATTTGAAACCCTGTGGACTTACCAGACCTTTTTTTACTTCGGGAGACCAGATACAACTTTTAAAGCCACTGATCTCCTGCTCCTCTGTTATCTTTAGACTGTCATTGCAGTATGCAGTTCTGGTATATGTTATTACAAATCCCTCAAGATAAATTCTGGAAGCAAGGGAAAAACAAGATGCTCAACGTTTACAAGAGATACACAAGGCAAGAAGAGAGAAGTCTTCACAGAGAATTTCAGATGACTGGTACTTGCTCTCTCTGATCATTCTAGTGAGAGCAAACTTTTTCCAGAAATCTCTTGCTACAGCTCCCTGGGGGAGAAAATGAAGACTCCCGTGTACCTTTTACTGTCAAGGCTTTCCATGTGATTCCATGTGAAACGAGAACAAAGACATCAAGCTCCCTGTGAAATTAGGAGACTCGGTGAAAAATCATTCCAGATTCATGGCATGGTTTTAGGGCATTGTAGGCTTTCTTGTCACCCCAACTCCCAATTAATCACCTTTAACAAAATAAAAATGCAATAGGACTGGACAAGTGCTTCACTCTGGACTATGGGCTAATTAACCCCAGGTGCAATTCAATTGAAATTAATACAGAAAGGCACATTGTTCTACTGAACACAGCAAGGGAGCCCAAACGGGTCTCCAAGTACTAAGAATACAAATATTGTGAACAATAACCATGTTGGTAGGTGAGCCATTCCCAAAGAAAGGTTACAGGAAATGCTCTGAATAATAAAAAAGAGCAGTAACAGAAAAGTTGTTTTCATCAGTCAATGGAGGTGTAGCTGTTTTGACCTGAGCGATAAAGAGAACAGGGCAGATCCATGGATATACGTTCCCTCACTGAGATACCTGCATTAAGGTTAGAAAACTTATTTCTAATAGCAGTCTGGATAAAGACAATGCAGTGCTCTATAATATGAGGTGTCACTCACCCAGTGAGTGAAGGCCTTGAACTTTCATGGTCGTTCATGTTTTTGTATGCGGTCAAATTATAACGATAGTATTTTTGTTTCCCCTGCACGCATGTGTATGATAGGGTGAAAAACTGGGCCCCAGATATGAAAACCACTATTGATCTGGCTAGAAACCTGTTTTTGCTGCAGAGAGTCTGCAGTTTGCTCCCCAGGTAGCCAGGACTAACCTTCCGTTAAAAAAAAAAAAAAAAAAAAAAAGATGTGTGTGCCCGAGTGTTTTGTCCCAGAGTTTTCAAAGATCATTCATTCTGCCTTTTAGACAACCTGCTTTTGTAATGCTAGCATATGCTTGATGTATTTTATGTGATGTAAATTAAAAGAAAAAAAAACATTTTTATGTAATTCTGCTAGCCAGTGCAAACTTCATAGAGTGTTTGGCTTTTGAATGAAGATCTGTTAAGGCCAATGGTTATTCACAAAAAAATCAAATGAAGGTAATCCCTAGGTGTTACCAGAAAGACTAGAGAAGGAAATAAAACATGAGATATTGGTGTTTAAAAATAAGTTGTTAAACAGCTCTGGGCCACTCTGTCCCTTGTCTACTGGGCTCAGAGTAATGACTCAAATATTAGAAAAAATGTGGTAATATAAACTGGCATGGATAGACAAAAGGAATTTCCATGTATGCCTACAGAAGATAATGAGGATACAGTCCTCCTTCCAAAAATTAAATCTTTTTTAATTTAGACAGATTGTGATATATAGAACTAAGAGGAAAATCAACCTAAAACATTTTTTTCTAAAATTGCACTTAAAATGAAATGTCATAATCCTAAAGGCTAATGTAATTTTAAATGTGCCTTCTTAATCAGGTAAATCCAAGTGACCCTAGCAGTAGGATGACACAGTACACACAAAAATCCCATACTGTACAGTGCAAACAAATAGAATCCCACCCCACCTGGCATTTTCAGAATTGACTACACCTGTGACATTTACCTGGTACAAACTGAAAGAGAAAGGTGTTTAGGTATGGCCGGTAGCAATGAAAAAAAATAAAAATAAAACACAGTATAAAGAGCTTCGCAAAAGCTCTTTCCTTGAAAGAGCTTCCTTATTCTTCAAGGAAGAATCTGAAAGGGTTGGCTTACTGCATGGAGAGAGCAAGAGATAGCAAGCAATTCATAAAAAGGCATGACTTATATCTGACATCCTGCTATTTAGGGCCTGGGGGGTTATATAGGGTGTAAAGTGGAGATAAAGTATAAACGTTTATTTCTTTTAAAGGAAATTCTGTAAGTTAAACATTTTAATTTTGACTGAATTTTGTGACTGGGAATAATTCAAACAGAGGACGCATACTATCCTGAGTTGACAAACACCAATTCTATTAATACTGTCGAAGGATCAGGATATAGATACCATGTGATCTCTGTACATTCATACGTAAAACGCCTCTGAGAGCCTGTTAAATGTTTCACATGTAGCATGCATTACAAATTAGATCTATAATTAAACCACTATGTAATTTCTTTTCTTTTCCTGGTTTTGTTCACACAGGGGAAACTCCCTGCGCAAAACTCCCTGCGCAAAACTCCCTGCAGTCTGCTCAGCACTGTCAGCTCCTACTCACTTCTGTGATTACCAAGAGCACTCAGCACCTCAAAAATTGCTTGCTTAATAAAGACACACTTATACTCAAGTAACTGCAGGAGAGATTTCTAATCAGCTAGTAGAGTCTTCAAGTAAAATGCAAGATTCTGCTAACAGATTCTGCAATTCATTTAGATCCCATACATTCAAATTAAAATGCAATGACAGGAATGTTGACAATGTCTTAGTCAAGTTGCTGTGGTATAACATTCCAAGTAGAACAGGTTTGTAAGCAATAAAAACAGCTGACAGATTGTATCAGATAGTGATTTATTAGAGAGATGAATGACCTTGGACTGAGCAGAGATTGAGCAAAAATTACACAGAAACGCTCTCTTGTAAAACAATCAAAAGTCCATCTTACTGCTGTAAAAGTTTGAGGAATGTTATTTTCTCCATCTTTATGTGTTATCAGTTTACATAAGTCTTCCTAAGTGCATTTATAAACAATATTTTGCTTCAAAGACCACAGAACCATTAGACACTCCTAACAGTTTTCAGCCATTACCAATATGAGTCCTCTTTGAAACAGCATCCTGTCACTGTCTCTTTAGCTTGTCAGTACCTGTCCCCTCAACAAAAATTTCTGTGTGGAAACCTACCTTACCCCTTCCTTAGTTTTGTACTTTGTAATAGTCTTCAAATTTAAGTCTCGATTCAGGAAAAAAACTTAAATACAAGCTACTCAGAGCAGCAGCACTGGAGTACTTTACAGTAGTCTTACACCAACTCAATTCCCCCCCACACGCCCCTACCCCCTTAGCCTGTTCTTTTGGACCTTGCGCCTTCCCATATAACTCACTTTATGAAGATTCTTGTCTTTGCATTGCTGTTGTGAACGGTAAGAGCTTTGGGGAAACTGATACCAACACGCCAATTGAATTTCAGAGTTCAGATAAATTAGCCTTCTAATCCATATTCTTTCAATACTTCAGCTCGAGGAGACTTAGTATATGTTTGTATCTATACAAACTACTGTTCTGATTAAGAATGAAGGAAAACAATATATAAGTATCTGTCAAGCCTGATTTCAGTCCTTTATGTCCATTCAAATCTCAGTTTGTCACTTGTGTACAGTGCTATGATTACCACCACTATTTCTCACAACATCTATTTCAACAATAAGTGTTTTAGTTATTTTTTCCAAGGTTCCCCCCCCCTTTATGATTTTGGCACCTGATTTTACACTCATTTATCTAACTATATGGACAATCCTTCAAGGAAATATGCTGAACAACAGTATACAGCAACAATTGCTGCTTTGGAAGAAATGCTATTGTAGAATCATTCTGTAAACGATGATTAAGCTATAGTGCTAAATATAATGTAAATTATTATCTACTTAAGAGAAGATACAGCTCAGGCTGTCATCGTGTTGATTTCTAACTGCAGTCAGAACGACTTAGTACGTCCTGTATTTTAATCATTTGTACGCAGCGTAGAACTGATGACTTAAGACCTAAGCAAAACAGAGGTTATTACAAGTTGATATTTTCCTTTTGGAAAAAAGCACTTTGGGGGATATATTTTTGCAAGTTCTCTTTCACTATTCATGACACACCAAACTAGCCTGAAAAAAATGACTGGGTAAAGGAGAATCTGACCATTTGGTTCTGCCTGGTGAGTATTTCCCAAACACCCCAAACAAAAAAACTTAATCCAAACAAGTTATGAGATTTCCTGGTAACCAAAGTGGAACAGTTGTACCATCCAGTCACTTTGCCATCTGAATTTTGGTGCAATATTCCAGCCATTACATCAGACATTCTAACAACTTGTTGAGACTGTAAACATGTTCTTACAGGATTCAAAATGCCACAGGAAATTGGTGGTTTTGGGAACAGCCTGAAAAATCAGACCTGAAAACATCAAGTAGGCCTAAATAAAGACATAAGCTTGATAACTACTTGTTCATTTGCCTGACTTCCTAGCTTTGCAGTCTAACTTTATACCGACAGAAAGATATAAAATGGAAGGTTCATTGAACTGGATTTTATTAAACGGCAGTGACAAAGCACATATCCACTTAGGAGCAAACATACCAGATTAATTAGTGAGCCCATAATTCTTTGCTAGCACTGTTCAGAATAGCACGCACTCCCCGATACTTGACGGGTGAACGCCTGTCCAGCGTCTGGTCTAAAGGAAGTCTGACCCTGCAAAGTAAACATAAGCAGCCTTGAAGTATTTTATAATCAGATCTCAAAATAATAGTTTTTTTTTCCAGTTGCATTCTAGCTATTTGGCCTCACAATGCATTGAGATTAAGGTAACGTCTCAACTCCAGCTGAAGAACGCGCACCATAAGGCGGCAAAGATTTGTGCAGAAGTTACCAACTAAGAATATGCCTATGCTGGCAAAGCAGAAAGACTGAGGCTTTCTCTACCTAAATTAACAGTGGAGCAGGAAATACAAAGAAACACAGTAAAGAGATTTCCAAACTGTCTGGAAGGAAGACGGGTCACATCCTAGGCATATCTGTCCAGCACTGCACTCAACTAGTTTCCCTAGGCTTGCACAGGCTAGTTTAACAGTCCTAAACATATCCAGAACTAAGACAAGCCCACTTGGCTCTGCTCTGTGCCATGAAACAACATCCTATTGAATTTCGCAGTGCAAACACATCCTAAACATCTGGCCAAAGTGCAATATATCCTTGACTTAGCCAGGGCAGTCCCAAAATTCCAGTTATACCTATGCTCCTGCAAAAGTCAAGATATGGGTTAATCTTTTATCTTGCTTTACACTAGGACATAGGATCTTCTGTCCCCACTTATATTGACCTGGCAACTCATTCCCAGCACAGCAGCAGGAAAACATTGTTGAATTCAGCTTTTGCACCAGGTCACGACTTGATGCAGGTTTTTTTTCCCCCCCCCCCCCCGCATGACTTGCGGATGGGGTATGTTTCTGCACCACATAGTGCCTCTGGCTCTGTCACGTAATAACGCCAGGGAGCATGCCCTAGTCTAATGACATTCCAGAAGGAGCACGGCCCGTATACATCTAGCAAAAAATTGGTTGCTTAGTCTTCAGTACATGGACTGCCTCTCAGTCATCTGAAAACTAATCTAGCCACAGCAGCCCAGAATTCCTATGGGCTAATTTATTCTGCCTCTAGCTAATAATTCAGAGTATCTGCCTCTGGGCAGAGTCAATTAGCCTATACAGAACTTCATCCTGTTACACCAAACAGCTTCTGGTACCGAGAGATTTAATGGAAAGCTAGCTCACACATCTCTACATTACACCAGTCTGAACTGGAATAGCTCAAAGAGAGCAGAGAGCATTTCTGGACTGCAAGGACAAAGCGAACATGGGCCAGACCATCCTCCACTCCAGTTAAAACATTTATTTCTGAAACTGCTCTTTCACTCTCCAAAGGTGGCCGCCAAGGAGCTACAATGGCAGCACAGGAGCTAGGAAAGAATTTCCCAGGGCATGCCTCATCTCAGGGCTGCAGAAAAAAGACGTTGTGGACGTTGTTGTGGACATTGCTATCTAGGCTGTCTGTCACTAGAAAATCCCCCTGTACGCGACTGACTTTATTAACAGCACAACATAAAACATTCATGCCATGAGACTGAGCTGGACTGCTGTTGTTCCTGCAATACCTGACCAGAGCTCAGTAAACACTCATCCTATAACCCAGTTTTCAATGCATTTACGAAAAGGTGAGAAACAAGAAGCTACACCATCAGCTGGCAGGATTCCCCGGATAACCAAGGGATCAGGCACATAGGTCTTTTTCATTCACCTAGCTATGTGGAGAGAACACCAACTACAAACTTGAAGAGCTTGGCAAAAATGAACAGCTGTCAATCATGAAAAAGAGTACTTACTGAAGTCTTATTTAAGTTTCATAGTCTTTTTAGAAGTCTTTAAATATTAAAAAAATCATTTATAGACAATTTAGGTGAGGCAATCATGTAATTACATTTCACTTCTTGAAAATAAGTGAAATTCTGCCCTCTATCAATTCAATAAGCTGCTAAAGTCTAATTTTTCTTCTTTTCCTATTACCATAAATAATACTAGCGCAAGTTAAGTTTTCGGTAAAGTAACAGATACGTTGCATGAACCCTACCTGTCTGTACAGTATTGTCGTAGCTTGTGCTGTTTGAAAGGCAGCTAGATAAAAGTAACAGCAGTAACAGTCACAATACTTTCTGCTTCTGTGATGCCTTTCACCAGGGGATCTCAAAGCGCTTTGCGAAATGTCACTACTTACACTGCAAAAATAAGATGAACAAGGTTTATGTGCGTTTTAAAGACTTGTGCACTACAAGAGAAATGAAGGTTATTTTACTTATCCACAGTAAAAGAGCACATTAGTGGCAGAGCTGGCAGTAGAGTTCAAGTGGTCTAATCTTTATGTACATATTATATCAAATATCTGAAAATATTTTCTGCTTGCCTCTGGAGGCTTTGGAAAAATCTTATCCTATAGATCAGTAGCAATTAATTGTTGATTTCTGGTAGCCTCCTCCAACATCCATTGTTCTTGCTTTGAAAATCCATACGTCACCATCAAATTATATAACAGTTCACCTGAAAAATATGAATACCTTCAAGCTCTAATACTAACTAGTCAGGCATGACAGTATAGATTATGTTATTAGCATAAACAAAATTTGAATAATAAACAAAAGGGAAAACTTATGCAAGGAAAACCAAAGACATTTTACACTGCTGGATTAGTAGAAGTGGGCTTTAAAGCAGGCATAAATTGCATTTTGCCCATTTTAACGTACTCCCTCACAGAGAAACGTACGGCGATCTCAAACCTCATTTCCCTGGGAAAATTGCACTGGTTTAACTTCATTCAGTTTTCAGATGCTATAATTAAAGAGGTATAAAATTATTATGTTTGCTTAAGAATGTTTTATTTCAGTTTACCCTGTAATCTAGAGGATATTTGCTCTGTCCCAGAGCAAAACATGAACTCATACCACAGTAAGTGTTCACACTGCTTGGTTATACTTGTGCAACCTTTTCAAAGTCTTAGCATAACTGCAGATAAGAATTCATTCATTCATAATTTTGATTCTTCTCTGAGCCTTCTAGTCCCATTTCGTTACAATAATTTTAATTTATTCCAAATTAAATTGATTGTAATATTCTTTGCATTAAAAGCTTTTGTGTTAATTTCAAGTCTAATTTGACTGATTGCGTTTGAAACAAACTACTTTCCCCCCCTGAGTTGGGGAGAGGGTAGACAGAAAGCAACACACATCCCCCACACGCAGATCAGTGCTTCTGTTTGTTCCTTTTTAACCCCAATGATGCCAGTAAAACGTACTTGTTAGACAGCGCAGTATAACCGCATTTTGTTATTGTTGTTTTAAGTGCAATCTAGTAACATAACAGTAAGTTTAACATGATAACCACAATCAAATCCATTAACAGATAATGACAACTGTGTAAACACATCTTGTTTTTAAAATATGCCCTAAGATAGAATTCTCCATTGTAATTAAATTATTTTAAAATCTTACGCATTTTGGCATAAAAATCATATCTTGTCCCAAATGAAAAACATGCCGTCACAACGTAATTCATGCTGACAGGTGGAAAGGAGGAACCTCAGTTAAAACTCTCATGGTTTTGCAGAGGATGAGATCAGATACAGCACTCAATAGAGCGCTGGAGCCCCACGGAATACCATGCCTCGGTCCAACCACCCCCTACACGGCTCTCCTTTCAAACGGGCAGGGCTGTGCATCCTTTCCACAAAATCCGTCACATCACATTGTACTGTGGTTATACTGAATTTGTAACTGTCTTCAGCATAACTACACTGGGTCTGGAACCTGTGAAGATTTATGTGTGTATTTGACTCAGCAGTCTCCTTGAAGCTTTAGACCACTCTTTGCACATAAAGTTACTCACTTGGATAAGTCTTCATGGACAGAAGTTCAAGGAGCATAGGACACAGCCACTCTGTCTTGCCAGGGCATAACGATAAAATACCGGTATCTAAATAGTGAATGACGTTCAAAGAGAAAAGTCAGTGAAAGCACATATATATTAATAAAGTACGACTTTTTTTTTTCATAGCTTTTCCTCCAGTGTTACTAAGTGACAAAAATTTACAGGCACTTTATGCTGCACCTCCAGTGATCTTTCAGTTAAAATTAGCATAGCTTCAATTTGCAATCAAAGTAGTTTTCTGAACCCTATAATCAGTTTTATTGGACAAAGGACTCCGACTACTTCATTTCACAAAGAGTAAACAGACAATTAGTTTACAGCATTTTTTTGTATTCTGTATATTTTCTAATATGAAATTAAATACGTGTTAGCCTTTATTCTCCATTTTCTGGCCATGTTAATCATCAGGCACCCAGCCAAGAAATCTCAACATCCTAAGGAACTGAACCATACATTGTAGACCTTATTGCACGATTGCTGAGTTAATGACAACTATCTCACAGCAGCTCAGTACAAATGCCATCAGTGACGGCAATCCTTGCCAGGTCATTCTGTAGCCTGTGAGAACGTGGACTTGGCAAACAGCATGATGTCCAAATCCATCTGCTGGCCAAACATGGCAAGGAGAGTTATATACTGTAATTAGCGTACAAGAGCACCATAAAGCCAATCAGCCTGATTATTCTGGGATCTTCTTACTGATAAGAATTGCACAGAGCGGATGGTATTACAACTATCCAGTATGTCACTGTGCCATCTGGCAAGCTCATAGTGCATCTTATGTGAAATAAAGACTATGAACATTTTTGTAAAAAGCCTGCCAGCAAAGAACACCATCATTCCCTAAAACCAGTGGCAATTCACCCCACCTAGGGAACCCCTCCCCTTACTTCAGGGTCTCTACAGTTCAAGAATCTCTTATTCAAATCTATTTGCTGCAAACACCTGACAGTATCTTCGCATCTCCAGAACAATTTTGCAAAAACTGGAAGAGATACAAAACTTCTTGTGCGTTTTGGAGGTTAGGAAAATTCAGTACCAGGGTAACAACATACAGAACAGCAATTAAACTATGATAGAAAACTGTCATTACAGAGAAACATACATCTTTAAGTGACAAAAAGATGAAATAAAACTTGGTAGGCTTGATCACGCACATTTGAAATCAACACTAGTTTTGCCTGTATTTCAGTGTGAACAGGCCATGAATTAACCACTGCAGGCCAGGTTTTCAGGACTGTTCAATGCTTAGCAGCTCTCACTTAAAAATACAGATAAATAAAGGAACTGTTGAATTTGAAGTCTGGCTTAAAATTTGTTTCTATATGTGCTATTGAGCAGTGAGTTCTTTGAAAAGAACTGCATGTCTATTAACGTATCTAAATGAATATAACAAGTTTTTTTTTTTAATCTTGCACCAAGATGAATATTAAAATCTCTTATAACCTATTAACACATTATTCTTAAAATACAAGTTAGTCAGAAAAAAAGAAAAAAAAAAAAACTAAGACCATAGACACATTCTCTCTCCAAAATCTACTGCCGTTCCTTTTAAAGGCCTGACTAGTTTGATAGGATTGCTAAAGGCAGCATAACATCCACAGTATTCTCCTGGCTAGCTTTCAGCTTATGTAAAACAATGGTATATTTATCATTGCTTTTAATAAAGACTCACGGCAAAAGGTATTTGCAGCTTTAACAATATCTAGGTCTTGTAGCTGCAGAACTTCTGGGTCATTTGGTACAAAGCTGTTACAACAGATTTCAGCATCTTTCTCTCTTTTTACTACTCCTGTCTTTTGGAAGGATACAAAACAAATGCAAGAGACTCATTTTTTCTTTTCTTCCCCTTAGCTTTAATGAACCTAACTCCGGGTTAACAGCATTTTATCTTATGTAGCGTTCAGTCAGTTCTAAGAGCTTGATTTTCCCTTTACCTAAACTTTATTACTGACCACTCTCTTGAATATTATCATTCCTACAGGTATTCTCATAATCTGTTACCTGTGGGATACTAGCAGAGTGAATAGGAAAAAAATCATACTGGTTCTATGAAACTCCCAAAACTATTTCTTTACGTTCAACCCTCCAAGTCCATACCATAGCTCTGGATGAATAACACAGAGTTGTAGTAGCTTTGTTGTAGTAGCTTTGTCGGACACAAGATTAGTATCAGATTGCTGACAATTACCTGGGACTCTAAGGAGAGCCGCACAATTTTTTCATCTCCCACAGCAGTTCTGAAAGCAACATGATTTTTACTAGGTGAAAGAATGACTGAGAGTTACAACTGCATGTCACCTTGCTACCTTTCTAAGCAGTTTCTAAAAAGAAGCTTGTCTTTCTCAGACAGAACCAAATAAGATGGCTTACAAAAACAACAGACTTAAACCTTTTTTAATTTTTATACGACACAGTTATACTCTAAGCAGCATTGTAGCCCATAGCTAGGCTTGTGCAGCCAGCTCATCACTTGGTTTTGACACTCTCCTCCTACCAATACTATTTCTCTTTGGAGATGCACTCTTTCTCCTATTAAACATTTCATCCTGCAGGCTATTCTGGAGGGGGACAATCCTTGGATTAGATCTGTGGAAGAACTCACAAGCTGGCAAGAGAACAGTTTTCAGCAGTCTTGCCACCAAATGAAATAGGCACGTTTCTTGAAGGGTGAAAAGTTCCCAACGCGTAGTAAGGCGGCTAAGGATGAAAGACTCATAAACCAAGAGACACAGAACACAGGCAATTGAGTTAGCACTTACAGTGGCTGAAAAGAGCCTGACTAAAAGCACCTAAGAAAAAGAGCTGGACACATAGAATTCTGAGTATTCTCACTCACCCCTCTTAAGTCCATTCCACTTTGTATGCAATAATTAAATACACAAATAGCCCAGAAATAGGAAGGATGGTCTAACATGACAGAAGAAAGCTGAAAAGAAGTAGTGTGACCAATGTATTTAGAAAGAAAAACCAAACTCACCAAGGGGGAAAAAATAAAAAATAAAAAAGTAAATCACATACTCTGGAAACAGTTTTGTCCTGACAAATATGACATTTCTTTTTCGTTATATTAACCTGTAGTTCACTTACCAACCTGCTCACACTCTATGGCATTTCTGTAGTGATGAAAGTACAAGGCCTCACTGGACTTTCTTAAATTCACATTATAGCACCCATAAGAGGACAGATATTTCATATTTGCCTACATATTTAAAGCATTCAAAAGCTAGGGTATCTCTTCACCAACCAACTCAAAGCAGAAAATACCTTCTTAGAGGCAGGGCCCTAAGCAGACTAACAGGATCTATTCTTCTGCCTAACCCTTCTCTACAACCTTTTTCTCCTCTACTGTTAAAGCTTTAGCTGCCTGTGTCCATTATATGCTTTGATATCACACAGCTGTGGTAACCTGAATCAGACTTCTGCAAAAAGAGCTAAACTGTGAGAAATTGCTGTGAGGAGCCTGATCTGGGGCCTCCACCCCTTCACCCTCCACCCCTAGGCTTAGGAGCTGCATTGAAGCTCAGGCCCGTGCTCTTGGTGACTGCCTGGCTCATGCTCTAAGTACGCCTGGCCTGGCCAATGCCACTTCCCAGCTTGACCACAGTCCTGCCTGGTCTCTACAGAGTTGTCTAGTAGTCGCAGGACTGCTGGCCAAACCTGGTTACCATCACCAGACAACCTATTCTTGGTTTGGTACTTGTCAAGGAGGCCGCTGCCTTGCCATCACCCTTGGCTTCCAGCTGACCTGGCTGCTGCTGCCTGACCTGGAGCATAACAGCTGCTGCCTAGCTTTTCATCCCTAGCAAGACAGGAGCTGACAGGGGAACTCAATTACCATTAGCAGTTTTAAAGATACTGTTTAGTGTCATTCCTGTATGAATCACTTTCCAGCAAAATTGCTGTAATATTTTTTAGAATCTCATTGCACTAAAAATATGGGATTGTTGGCAGTTTCCCTCACACTGGGATGTAGCTCTTTAAAATAGTCTACAACGTTTAAAAGCTAATGAGCGTGTACTTTTGTAGAATGGAAATCAATTTTCAAGCCTGCCTCTCAACTGTATTCTGCATTAGTCCCTAGGATGTATCATTCCAAATGTGTCAAGTTAAAAATGGATGTTTCATCCTTAAAATACATTTGGCAGTCCCAATAAGAATAGCTTCCTTTCTTTTAAAATATATTTAAATATAATCGGTATGCAGATTTTGCATTGATATAGACCTGGATTTCACAATGTGAATCATGAAAGAAAATATTTTGCCTTATCTTGAGAAAAATTGTTAATTGACATCCTTTTTCCACCTATTTTCCAGCTACTATCTTTGATCTAACAAGAAGCAAGAGCCAGAGCTCACAAATAAATTGTGTCCCCAGCTGAGACCCTAGCACTCTTTACATTCAACAGGTCCAGAGTTCACTGGCTATTGCAGTTTACTTACGATGTCTCTGACTAGAGGAATTAAGACAGTTTTTCCTGGCACAAATAATTGGCACTGGCAGTATTGCAAAGACTCTCTCTCTCTCTCTCGGACACAAGAAAAAGAAGTCATGATAAATTTGCAAGGAGGTGGCAATTATCAGCGTAACCACGAAAAATCTTTTCCCTAATAAAAAGAGTTAGAGAAATATTTATTTTAAACATATGTATACGCACCTATATATGTAAAGAATAGTTGGAAAAAATACACCTGAGAAACAGCTCTTTCTAATCTTGACATGTCTTATAGAGATGAACACATAAAGCACTCTGTATAGTTCTCAGTTATTCAGCCCCCTGTATAAGCAATATTCTGCTTCCATTGTTAACAGAAATCCACAGAAAACATCTCAGTAAAGTATTTCTGTTATAGAAACAAACAATTTAAACCAATCTTTGCTGCGTGAATGCAAAGACACGATACCTTGTGATTTATTAAAAGACAAGCCTCCTCCCAGTCCACTAGGGTGAGCTATCACGCAGCAAATAGAGCAGAAGTCATTGCCGCTCCGGGTACTTCCCGAGGTGCTCAGAGACTTTTGGTCATTCTCTCCCTTATTTCAGGTAGGAAAAAAGAAATATTATTTAAACATTAATGCCTTCTATTCAAAGCTGCTTCTCTCTTCCTAGTTCAGCTCTTGAGAAAGCACAAGCACCAGCCTGCAGAAGCCGTGTTTCCCAAGGACGTGCTCAGCTCTAGATGGTAACCAGACCTTTGCGGATAGGGGCTGTACACTGAAAACTTTTAACATTCACTGAGTGATAAGAAAGTTGGCTAAGCTTGTGTGAACAAGCTGTAGGCTATATTGACACATCTATGTGACACTATGCAAATAATAATGCTACCAAGGAGATCCTCAGCTGCTGTGAGCTAATATAGTTACACCAACTTCAGTCTAGCCATGCTGACTTATACCAGCTGAAGGTTTGACACCTCCTTATAAATAGTGTTTCCGTTGTTGGAGGACTGCAGTTGCTGTTCTGAGCGGAAGAACCGGAAGTGATACTATTTATACCATGCATGCTTCAAGCCAAATTCTCTGCAGGTGTAGACAAACTCCATTCAAGCTAAGGGAGATGTGCCCTGTTCCATCAACAGAGAATTTGACCATTTTATCTTTTCTCTCCTTTTCTAAACTAAAGCCTCAATCCAGCATAGCATGTAAGCATGCGCTTAACTTCAAAGATATGAATGGGCTCGTTGATTTTTAATTTAAGCGCATGCCCTGCTGGAGTTGACCCCCTAAATATATTAGTACAATCCAAGGCTGAAGCTGTTGTGGAAGGAGGGCGCTTGCAGCAAATGCTACAGCTTGCGTGCTTGTTGGGACTGATGGCTTCAAGTTCTGACCTTATCTGTAGAGAAAAGTAATACAGATCGGAATAATGCTTCTCTCTTGAGAAAAGTAATACTCTTTGTCATGCATTTTTTTTATTCTTAGCTACAGCAATATGATTATGAGCATATTACTGCAGGTGCAGATGGTCAGTAATACTGAAACTTACAGAGTTTTTAGCACTTAAAGAATGAGGAAGGTTTGCAGAATGATCAAAACATGGTCATTTTATCTGTACAACGCATCTGTACAGTGTTCTAGTTATAATTCTTCACCTTGACAGATTTTGAAAGCCTTCTGTGCTAGGTTCTTTAAAACCCATTCCTTTCTGTCAGTTCATCTATTACAAGAATACACAGTAGGAAACCTCAAGGGAATACCTTGAAGACTTCAGCAATAATTAAAAAAAAAAAGAGAGAGAGAGAGAGAGGTTACTGAATTAGCACTGACAGGGCCAGCTGCAATGTGATCATCAGTTTCAGGAGGAATGGAATAGAGCAGACTACAAGCTAAATAATAAATGAAGAACAAACACTTTCTACTGAACTTAGAGCAAAACAGAAATAAAAATTAAAAATTATGAAAGTAAGACACTGATTTTTAAGGCAGTATTTAACATTTTTACATAGGTTAATACTAAAAAATACAATAGAGTGGCAAAAGATGCCTTGGAAGATTTTTTCCTAATGCTATTTTGATGGTGTTGTGGACAACGGTCTTAATGTTAAAAGAAACGTTTACCCCAAAAGTGCTTGCTAAAGGAACAGGCTTGCACCCAGTCCTCCACACCAACTTTGATCACATGAGTAACCTGCCTAACATCAGTGAATCTTTCATCAGACTCACGGGACATACATATTTTTATGAGTGCAATGTTTCCTGCGCGTAGTGTCTGAAAAGTATTTCAGACCGAGCTCCTACAAGGTGTTTTGGATCTTCTGGAAATTCCTGAAGCTTAAATCCACTGAAAGGTTTAACAACCATCTAGTCCCCACTTCAGACATACGGGTCCAAAATTGCTGTCTCCAGAATGCTGTCCCAGCAGTTGCCTAGCCTTTAAATCACAGAAGCTCTGTCAGCACCTCATTTTTTTAATTTTAAAGTTCCCTAAGCACTGAAAGTCTCCTTTCTGGTACTGTGAACACTCATGAACAAACACGAAACGTGACACAATAAGTAGTGTGTCAAATAATGGAGAAACTAGCTCATTCCTGACCGTCACAAAAAACAAACAAACAAACAAACAAACAAACAAACTCTTTCTATCTTTCATGCCTAAGAGATTTCAGTCCAGAAAGCAAGCTAAGAGCTTATCTGGCAGACCAGGTTTCCAAAAAGGTGGAGACTGCTCCCCTCCCTCAAAAAACAGCTGGTATTCATAGCATTTACCTTGTCTTTATCCAGTGACTCAGTGATTATAATGTTAATCCAAGATAAGAGAAACTTGAGTTCAATTCATTCTCTGCTTGACCTTCATATCCCTCGCCATCTTGAATGGCGACCTAAAAATGGTGGGGACAAGGAAGAAAAGGTTGAAAAAATATCTGTAACTTTCAACATGTTTCATTGCAGTTGTTCCATTTTTTGTGAGGCAGAGTGAAAGATTAATTTGACTGAACATTATGGTGCCCAAGGCTCCTTGTGGATCTGGTTCTGACTGTATTCTACAACCACTGAATGCAGGCCCTCAGGTATTCAAGTTACTCAAGTTAATGCAGCTTGTATATAACATATGTATTACCCTAATAATGGCCACATTGGATCAGTCTAGTACCTTGTCTCCAACAGCAGCCAACTGTGGATACCCTGGCAAGAACGTAAGGACAAGAGGAGCACAAATCAATAAAAGCCCAAATAATTCCTGTTTGCGTTATTCAGCTCACTAGTCCTCTGCTGACTTAATTGGCTTTTTCATAAGCAAATAAGGGATTTGACCCAAAGTTACTACTAAGACTTAAATTTTTTTTTTAAATAAACCAAAACCAGTTTCTCAAGTCTTTAGATAAAATAAATGACGCTATGTCAAATTAGGACTTTTCAGGATCTAGTCCCTAAGTGTACCAAAGCTCTGTTATATACTTGGTTATTTTTCTCCTCATTGTTCCTCCAGAGACTAGAACTAAAATAGGCAAAGTAAGAGGAGTGATGTTGTTGCAACAATTAAAAAGCAACATTCCAATTTAGTGTCATCAGTAAGAAAAATCTGTGTATCCACAAGCAAGTTTTGCTGGTTGCAGACTACTTGGTCATGCTCAGGAGTTACCTAAATATTCCATACGATACCTAATGAAATGTTACATTACAGACACTGTATTGCAATTACTACAGTTGCTCCAATGTCATATGATAAAACAGAAACGCCTGGTTGCTTCTGCCTAAAGGATCCCAACCCAGTTGGCCATCAGAGGTGAATTCCCAATACCTCAGTCTCCAGATAGTCACAAGATAAACTTACCTTTTCCTTCAATCTTTAATCTAAAATCAATACAATAAGGAATCCACCTTAGCAGCAAATAACTATTTCTGTGCATGTGGTATTTTCATAGTATCTCTTATCTTGTAGTCCTGTTGTAACTCATAATATCCTTCCTTCCACTCTGCATCTGACTGCACCGTATGTGAAGGCATCTATCATATCTATAGCCTATTTTAGCAGAGGTCAAAAAGTCCAGGAGGGAACTAGCACATGGGGAGCTGAAAAGAGAGCTCATGCCTAACTGGGTCCAGGATTCCTACCCCGTGCTGCAGCCAAGCAAGCAGCTCTTTGAATAGCAAGCCACTGCCATCGTCCACTGCCAGAGCTCAGGGAAAACATTGCTTCTCTCACAACTGTTGCTGTTGCCTTTGATAGGGTCATGAACACATACAGCAAAAGTTTTACCAGGACAACCGTTCTCCTTTCTCTTAGCCGTTACAGTTCACCTCCAGGGTAAGGAAGATAGCAAGCTGAACGCATCTGGAGGTTGATCGCTACAGCCCACAGACTGTGTTCCCCCCTATCAAAATGGTATTTCATACCACTCTCTAATGCTTATTATTCTCTGAAAAGAGTTTTTACAGATTTGCTAACATCCTCACATCAACAAGTGATAGATCTGACATGGGATGTCCAGATCTTCCGTGCTACTGATACACTCTGGGAAGAGTCAGACTCAGTGTTATAGCAAGAGCAGCTCTATGGATCTTCAGCGGCTATCTGGCTGAGCTGCACAGATATACAGCTGCGCAAACTGCCAAATTTCAGAAACCCAGGAAAACCAGGTCAAAAGCAGGAGGTGAGACTACTGTAACTAATAGAAATCTACTAAACAGCCACATCAGGGAAGCTGACAGGCCTGCATTTATAGTGAAAAAAGTGAAGAGGTTGTCTTCTATCTGAACATCAAGGTCGGACACAAACACTCTGTGCTTACTGTTTTCTTTCACATATGCATAATTCAAAGAACCACAAGCTCTAAATTCCACTTCACCTACCTTTTTCATACCGCACTCATGTGAGTTCTGAATACAGAAAATATACCTATACCTAATAGGTTACATAAATTATGACTGGGAAAAAAAGCTCTAATATTAATAAAACTATCTGTGTGATTGTTTCTTTGGGAAGAACAAAAGATTTAAAAAACAGGCTTTAAAGAATCTGTGTGTTACGTTTGTACATAAAGCCGTAGACTATTTGAGTAGCCTTTCACAGTACCGGAAGGAAAGCAGCACAGGAATCCTTTCAGTTAGAATATTAAGAATCCTCTTTCGTGCAGATTAATAGTTCTGAGACTAAATAAGTGGGTAGTGGGTGGAAAATGTATTTCTACTAATTGAAAGAAGACTGAAGTCAAAACATGTTATTTTGTTCAATAGTTGTTCTTGATAAAAAGAAAGCAGGTAAGAGTAATCATAGCATAACCATTTAGAAAGGCACCATTATTTACAAACAACAGTATTTTAATCTTGCTTGTTTGTAGTTACTGTTAATATTTTCTAAGATTCGGATAACTGCCTTGAAAAGCCACCTAATAGCAGCACTTTTTGTTTTATATACTCAAATACTCAGTCCCAAATATTGTCAAGCATCTTTAAGAAGCAGATATCTCTCCAGTTTGTTTGTATTTACAGTATTTAGCCCCTGAAGCAGAGGCTGCAGAAGGGAAGGAATGCTAACTCTTGATTTATTGTTTCAGTAAGGATACAAATGAAGCTCAAATTACAGAGAATTCAAATAAGTAATTCTTAGTATTTACAGTGCATGATAATGCAAGAAAGCCAAGGCTTAATCTGGTGGTACAAATTTCAGGCTGCATTAGTTATTCTAAAATAAAATCACTCATTTTTCTTTATCAAAACCAGTATGACAGTACAGGCCTTACTAGCAGTGACACAAACTTGAGCATTTTTATTGTCCATGAATAAAAATGGAACTTGCATTAGTTACAAATTTCAATTTGCCTGTGTGTTAAAAGAGGAAATATTCTGCCAAAGCAAACTCATTGTTCAGTTTTATGGTTTCTTTACATTTACACTCGTGTACAACGTCTTTGCTCTCTGTAAGTTACGTTCCAGGATTCCAGAAGTGGTGGCTCGACCCACCACCAGCAAAAGGAGAATATCGCTTTCTCCTAGTGATTCCTGCTCTTTACCTTGCTCCAGTCTGGGGCACATCAGACCCAATATAAGCTGATTTAACTAGAGGGTATTTTGCTGGCCCAGAGGGTTAAATCAGCTCAGGAAAGAGTCTGACACATGCCACAGCCAGTGCAATGAAAGAAGGACTGTCTCTATTTATTACAGATGGAGCCAAGGGAGATTAGCTGGCTAATTTAGCCGGTTAAGTCAAATACCTAAAGTTGGATCGTGTGAACACCTCTCAATTTATCTCTACAGCTATTTCTGGCAAGCTAATACTTCTTGTTAGCTACAACTCCTAGTTGGAATCATGTGGCACGCTTCAGTTAGCAGACCAGACTTCCCCAAGGACAGGTGGATGAGCTGATAATGGTGTATTCTGAGCGCTGGAGAAAGACTTGCTCTGCTATTTGCGTGGAAAAAAAAATGCTGCCTGTACTCTGTTTCTTTTATCACCAAATGCCCCAGCATTTTTAGTTATAAGAGAAAATATAGCACTTAAGTATACTCTTTAAGTTATTATGCACACAATCGTCAAAAGTATATTTGACGGCTTTAAAGTATTCCTTAATGTAGCTAAGTTCCTCCACTAAAGAACTATTACTTCTTAAGAGTTATACCCTTACTTTGGTGTTAAATCCTGAAAAGTGATGTCCAGACTTATTTTGAATGGCGCTAGTGGTCAGTACAACTAAGATTTAAAAATCTCCCCGAAGAGTGACAAAAAGAGAAGAAAAGCCATCCAGCTTTGCATTAAAACTCCAGTAACAGCAGTATTCGATAGTTCAAGTTAAGAAAGAACTTTTAATGTCATAATATAGTTTAAAATTAGGTAGAAGAAACAATTTTAGCAGTTCAGTATGCAGTCAAAGAAGATACTTTCTTCAATTGTCAGACTGTGCAAAGAAATCAAATTGTCTTTGTGAGAGCGCAAGTACTCAGCCTCCTCATTCTTAGGTATCACTTTTGTCCTGGGTAATCCAACCAGGCTTTAATGAAAGCAAACAGTATAACGTACATAAAGCAATCAGTGCAGCTAAGTACATCACACTTCTTACTAGTTTCTGACCTCTAAATGCAAAGGACAAAACATAGGTTTATTAGGTTTCCTATCTCCTTCAAAAACATCATTCTAACTTGCATAATCGTGAGAGTAAGGAAACCAACCAAATTTGGATTCCACCAAACTTTATCTAAAATCTCTGTTGGTTTAGCAATGTCAATAACAGACAATGCGGGTGTGCATTCATGCTATTGCAGCTGCCAAAGTTCAAAAAGTTTGCAATGAAGTATTACATTTTCTCATTGCCAGGAAAGTAACCGCTAAAACAAAACTGCCATAAAATTTGGCAATGCAAAAATTCTTCAAGTTGGAAATCAGTTTACTCTGTGAATCTCTAACTCGTATTCACACTTGTAGAGTAACATATTTCACTCTAGGAATCATAGAGATATAATTAGGAAACCCAGTCCTGGAAATGTTTGTAGCTGACTTTTCGGAAAGACAAACTTTCTCCATTTAGATTTTAGAGTGACCAAGTTATATTTGCAGACTTGAAGACTGGAGAATATTTTCAATCAGGTAAGACCGGTCCTTGTAAAATAATTCTCCAAGTTCACATTGGTCTCCATAAAAAACCTGACAGGCTGTCTTTTACTCACAATCCTGACCCTGAGCTCTCTTATACTTAATTTATCGTAGTCTTTCTCACATACTTTTTGGAAAAGTAAATTTCCCTCTTATTTCTCTTATAATATTTGATCAGTGGAGCAGCAGCCTCTGAAGTAAAACTAATGTAACCGCAGATCATAGAAGAAAGCTTCATGGATTATTTTTAAATAGCTTTTTAAATGATTACTCTTGAACTAGAATCTTGGCCGCATTAAGAAGAACCCAAGGATAACCATTACTCACTGTAATACAGAGGCTCCTTTCTAAGGCTATAAACTTTAATCATCGGTAAAGGCACTGCACTGAGTTTTGAAGCCGGAAAACTAACTGGCCCGCTGTATAACTAAAGATGATGAGCTTAATTTTTCCGAAAGAAAATTTTAGCAACGTGCGGATAGACTAACTTGAACGCTTGTCAAGTTATTCAATACACTGGCCTTACCTTTTATACTGAACATCTCAGATCAATAGTTTTCAAACACATTCCTCTGCAGGTACAGAGTTCATTACATCATTGGTGGCCAGGTATTTTTTTTTTTTTTTAATCTTCTTGGCAAGCTAATGTTGAACACGACAAAACGGGTGCCCGGCACGCGAAAGCTAGGGCAGGCTTGCACAGGAAAGCAAGGGGGAACTTGTACGGGCGCTTCAGGCAGCGGACCAACCTACAAAACGTAGTCGGTTACATGTGATCACTTGTGAACCCTCATTGCTTAAGAACGTCCAATTTTTCAACGGCAGTACGCTTCCGGCTTTGCACGCAGTGTTTGTTCTTCCTTTTAAAAATTCGTATGCCTGAAAAATATTCATAGTCTCCCACCTCCTCCCAGCCTTGACCCGACGGCGCAGGCAACGCGGACCTCTCCCCTGTCAGGCCCAGCCCTCACACGCTGCTCTTAGACCAGTCGGCCTCCGGTGGGGGAGGGGCGGGGCGGGGCGGGGGG